CTGGGATGGTGACTGGGGGAAACCAATCTTTTGGCTTGGAATCCACGTTTTACATGAACGCTGAGCAGTGATGGGGCTGGTTCTGTACCGGTTTAGCAAAGCAGTGTCCTTAGTCAACATAAAAATGACCTGAGAAATGTTACATCCCTCCAGACAGTTCATTTGGAATTCGTATGTACAAAGTAGAAATAACTGCTGCACACACACACGACACGGACACACACACGGCAGGACGGCCCCACGCGGCGCCAGGACGGTCTGCGCTGCCTCCGCCGCTTCCCCTCGCGTGGCAGACACAAGCTTGGGCAGACAGATTACATTGCTCAGATTAGTTCTTTGCATTGTGTATTAATTGTACCAGTGCAATAACATTGTCAAAAAGGAGGAGCTGCTCCAGGGGCGGCCGAAGCCCTGGGCCAGATTCAAAAAGGGTGGTTTAAACTTTGTTTTAGAGCGAGGTACACGTTAAGCAGAGCTCTGTGTTAAGGGGATGGCAGCAGAAGGCGTGCTCGGCTCAGCCTCCTTCTCCACAGCTTTGTCCTCTGCTTCCAGCTGTTCCCCACTTTTCATGCTTTCCTGGAGCTGCTGGCGTCGCTGCACCTCGGCCTTAAGGTTCTCCAAGTCTTTTTGGCTGGAGGGGAGAGCAGGAAGGGAGCAGACGTTAGCCTGGTGTTGGGAATGGTGAAGCACAGGGACAAGACCGTGCAGCAAGGAGGAAACACTCCTGCATGCCCTGCCCTGGCACAGCCACACCTGAGCACAGCCAGGGCCTGGTTTCCAGTCGGGTTTGAACCAGGAGGCACCAGGGCTGGGCTGGGCTGGGCAGGGCAGGGCAGCCTCCAGCTGCTGCTGCGTTTCTACCGTCAGTGAGTGTTTACAGCCTTAGAAAATACACCTTTGGCTCAGGTCATCTATTTCCACTACCACCCCAATCGAATTTCCAAGAAGTCTAAGAAGCAACTCATAGTAATTACATAAATAATGTGAGAGCCCTGCTGTTCATGTGGTCTTGATGATGCTAACCCAGGCCTGAACTGTGATCTTGGCTAAGACAAACAAGCCCTGTGGAGCTGGTTTCTGCTCTCTTGTGAACAGAGGTCACACAAAAAGACAACTCCATTTCTCACAGCACAACCCAGAGGGATCACTGTACCTTAGTGGAATGAAGAGAATTCCATTGATAATGTTGAGCTGCTCCAGGACACTGGCCATACTGGGAGCTGTGAACTGCACCACAAGAGAAAAGAAGTTTTGGGAGTCAGAACCCAGAAGGGACTCTGAGCTGCTAACCAAGTCCAGACACCATTTATCAAGAGCTGAGGAAAAACCTCAGGCTCATATCTGAGACCTGAACAGCTGCACAGTGGCATCACTTATATTATCTACCTCTGTATACCCATGAGCTGAAAAGCAGCACCTTGAGCTCCCCACCAGCCCTGTGGGCAACCTCCTGCACAGTGCCACTGCCCGTTCCACCCTCCTTCAAGTGTAAAACTTTTAGTGCTGCTTTACGGGTTTGAGCCTCTTCAGTGGCCCCTGTTCCTTGGACCTGACCCTTTACTTGATTTGAGGTCCTTGTGCTCCCATTACTGCCACGAACCCTCAGGTCTATTCCCAGCTCTCCCCAGGGAGAAGGAAACCCACCACAGGGCACTGTCCCGCTCTGCCCCTCCCTG